GGCAGCAGGAAGCTTGTCTTCATGCTGGAGTTTTAGGGTGAAAGCCCTATATCTGGGGGTCACAACAGACCAGGCTTGGCACCCATCATAAACTCTAGCTAAGGAGATAAGCATCACCAAAGGACAGGAAAGGAGCTTTAAACAGCCTGGCCGGGAGGTGGAAAGGAACAGATAAAGAGGTTCAAGACCTGTCTTCCAGGGCCTGACAGGAACTTTGAGGTTTTATAAAAAAGGGGAACAAAGGCAGGGATGGGAGGGAGTGGTTATAGCCTCAGGCTTTGCATAGCTGGCAGGGTAGGTAATCCTGGTCAGGTCTAGTCTGCTTGATGGTTTTCTCAGGACTAGTTCTGCAGGATCTCTTTGGAGAAGTCTGTGGCTCAAAGGGGGCAATTTGGGAAATGAGATCATTGTTCCTGCTTGTAGGGGGCCAGCCTTGATTCTATAATCGCTCCCACTTAGGACAGTCTCATCACAGGATCATCAGCTCTGCCAGGCTCTGCTGTTCCTACAGGTTTAGGGCAATGACTGGAGACTTGTAGACACCACTCCAGGGCATCCGGAGCAGGACTTGTGAAAGCTGGCAGTTGACTGTCCCTGCAAATCTTGAAAATATTGTACTTTAATTATTCTTATCCTTAATCTTGAATGGGAGTGAGGTCGACTAGGTAAATTTAGGGCTAATTAACCTTTTGTTACCAGTTTTTAGGCAGACACTCCTTAACTGATTAACATGCTGCGTATGTGTGGACCTGACCCAGAGTTTTAAGGTAATAAGGAGACAGACTTAAAATGAAGGCAGAAATGCTAAGTTTCATCTTGCTTTTAGTTAACCACTGGGTTTCTGCAGGCCCGGTCTATACAGTCCACTTTATCTGTTTTAAGCTGCAAGTTTGAACTACTTTGTTACAGCAGGAGTAAGACACTAATACACTACATAAATTCCAGCAGGTGCATGTGCCCTCAGCTTTCTATTTCAAGAAGCCAGGATGATCTTCTAGGATAGCCTGCTGCATCTCTCATCCATAGGACCTGTCATACTGTCCCATCACCCCAGACATGATATACGCTACCTCCTTGTTTTATTTTGATGTTCCTAGTTGAGGTTAGATATGACTATTACTTTGCACAATGCTCTATGATCCTACTTTAGTGCCATAATTCAAGAACAATTTACTAAGCACCTATCATTAATTAGGCTCTGTGATTGAAGGCTTTGGGATGCACAAGTTGAAGGATTCAGCCTCTCCTGGAGGTGAGGAGAGTATTTGTAGTGAAAATGATGGTAGGACTGAAAAGAGTGGAAGACCTTCCAGACAAGAGGAGCAGGTAGAAGTCTGGGCCTGGAGGCATAGGCGGCAGAGTGTGTGTCAGAAGCTGGTGACCTGCTCCTGTGCCTGTCTGTGGACCTCTGTGGGTTGGGGTAACCAAGAGGAAGTCTGGGGTGACATTACTGAGGAATTTAGAGGAAAAGATGGGAGAGTGGATGGGAAGATGGATGGCAGACATACACACAGAGACCTATAAAGACAGACAGTAAGGAAGGCCCTCCAGGGCCGTGGATAGAGCCCTGGGAAGCAATCATGGTACAAGGGAAAGCCAAGGAGGAAACACCCAGGAGACCTGGACGGGCAGGCCTCCCTCTAAAGGAGATCTCACAGTAATTAAAGAGGAGGTGGCAGGCCCCAGCACAGAGAAAGTGGCTCCCGTTGTCCAGCTCAACAGGCAATCCTGGAGCAACCCAGCCTGGAAGGTGCCAATTAGACTTGGCAACAGGATTCCATGGAGACCTCAAGCAGAGCATTTGTGTGAAGAAAGTTTAGGTGAGTAGAGAACTAAGTGGTAGTTTAGAAAAGGGGAAGGAGAGACAGTTACTTGGGGAATAGGTATCAGCCCCATGGACAGGCAGCAGAGATGAGCGAAAAGATTGTGACGAATCCTTGTGTGAAAGGCTCTGTCCATTCCAAGGACCACCTGCTCTTTCTCCCATTTACACCCCCATTGTTAAAAATGAAGGTTGTATTGACCAGCTTTCCCAGGACTAGAACAAAATACCTGATACCCACAACCTAAAGGAGGGTTAATCTGGCTCATGGTTTCAGGAGATTCAATCTATAATTGGCTGGCTCCAAGGCAGGAATAGCGTGGTGGAAGGGCGTGCAGAGCAAAGATGCTCATTTTATGGCAGCTGGGAAGCAAAGCACAGGGGAAGAGCACCAGAGAAAGATACCCCCTCCAAAGGCACTTCCACCCCCACCCCCACTCAGGCCCCACCTCTAACAGCCCGTTCAGCTGTGAATATCAGTGAATTAATCCACAATCAGTGTAGTGCCGCCGTGGTCCGGGCCCCTCTCCAGCGGGTTCCTAATGCAGGCGAGTTTAATCATCACAAAGGTTTGCTTTATGTGCTGTAAAGCTCCTCCATCCTGGTGTGCAGTTCTGAGAATGTGATACTGTCAAGGTGGAGAGCACCACCAACACCCCAGTATATTCCCCATGTTTCTCTAGTCAGCCTCTTCTCTGCTGGCAGCCCTGGGTCTGCTTTCTGTCCCTGACACCAGCCAAACATGAGACATTGACCTTGTGATGGTTTTTAGTTGTTAGGTATCAGAGTTAGTGACTTGGTTCACTTCATCTGGGGCTCTTACTTTTATTTATTCATTTTCCTCCTAAAATAATTTGAAGCTCTTTTGTTCATATTACAGGGTTCATCAGATACCATATATGGAGCTGATTTGAGTATTTTTGCAAATGACTTCTTGCAGTGTCCTAAAATGGAAGCTTTTTGCCTGATGGCCAAGTGTGTTTTTGTGTGCTTTTGAAATATTTTTCTTAATTCATTTGGATATTGATCAATAACCCATTGAGATAAAAGTGAATGCTATTGTTGGGATAACTTAGCAAACTCTAAACTGAGTCAATAATAAGTTTAAAGTTGTTTTCCACAAGGTCTAATATAATGCCATGGGCCCACCTGTCACTAATGCCAGTCTAAGAAATGATAAAATGAAGACAGTTGTCTAAAGTAGACCTGAACTTTAAACTGTGTTTTCCTTGAATATTTTTAAAATGTTGATTAAAATCAGAAACAATGTCCTCTGGCTCAGTTCTCCTCAGACCAAGATCTTTTTTTCTGGATGTTAATTTCACTGGAGTTATCTCTGTAATAGTTACCCTGGCATTTGTCAGTATACACCATACTCAAGGGAAGCATTTCTCATTTTAAAAAATGATTGCATTGGTCAATAATTCACCTTTCAGCCCCTAAAATAGTCTCCCTGATACCCCTGGCTCTGACTGGTTCTAAAGGGAAATAATGTCAGTGTTAATCTCATTTTGTTTCCAAGCAGGAGGGATGTAAATGGCTTGCCGTTCAAGGTCTAGCCAGTCCTATAGTGTCTTTGGCTGGTGTTAGCACTGACTGAGGCCAGCCTGCCTGCCTTCCCATGACAGATTCACCTTTTCTCTGCTTTCTCAGTAATACTTCAGATTCCTCCAAAATTTCTGTGGCTTGCAGCATAAACATAACTAGAAGCCTTGGGAGAAGCCCTGGGATTTCTTCAGGTTCATAAATGTTTCCTATGTTGTGTTTCTTTGGGACTAAAAACTAAAGAATCAGAGGCTGAGGCAGGAGAGTTGTAAGTTTGAGCCCAGCAAGACCCTGTCTCAAAATAAAAACGGGCCAAGGATATAGCTCAGTGTGAAGGCCCTGGGTTCAACCCCAAGCCCCACAAAATAAAAACAAAACAAAACAAAAAAAGTGAGAGGCAAGATTGGGTAAAACCGTTAAGGTGACATTCAGAAGGAATAGATTATGGTGTTCTGCACGTAGGGCAAAGGAATGGGTTTTGTGAGTGTACACCTTGGAGAACCAGCCTGTGGTGGTTCATTAAGAGATGAATGTGTAGCACCTGAGGTCAACTCGACCAGCTGCTCCACATGAATCACTGGTATGAGGCTGCTAAAAATAGGCATATTTTCAAGGATGCATTAATAAGCACCCTCCGTATTGTATGGTCAGACTGCAGCAGCTGTTGTGTTGTTTTAAATTTGGGCCATTTCTGAGGAAACAAAGTTTGGAAGTTGTAAGGAAGCATCTCTGACCGCTTTCAGCAGAGTTCACTCCTGGAAGCTATCTGTAGTCCTGGGGGATCGCCCAGAGTAGTGAGCTCAGGGCCACAAAAGAGGTCTAACTGGGACGTTTGCGTCAAGAGCAGGGGTTACCCTGGAACGTTCTCCACATCCCCACTGCTGAGCGGTGCATGGCACGATGCTATTGCATATGTGAGTGGGAGACTGATGATCACAGGGCCTTGGAGGATCCATACTCAGTGAATGGGAAGCCCCAGGTCTGTTCCTGCTGTGGAATGGAATTTTGTGATTCTGGAACCCTCTCCAGGACCAGGGCTTATGGAAAATAAATGACTAGCTAACATCCACACAAGTAGGTTACTTAATTTGTAGATGGAATTTGACCTTGGCTGCCTAATACCCTTTCCATGTTTTCTCCTGCTGGATTTTCTGTTACACCTGAGGTATTTGCATAACAATGTAATACGGGAGTAACCTTTGCCACTCCATTGATGGCCGGGATTATTCTGGCTGGTCTTAGTGGCTCCCCAAGAAACCTCTGGCACCTTTATTCAGTCCAACAGGGCATCCTGGGGAATAGGGAGCTGACTTGGTGCTGATTCTATGAGGAGCTCTGTCCCTCTCTTGGCAGTGTCTAAAAGGAGTGACAGACACTCTTCCCAGTGGCACTGTCCACAGAACAGCAAATTACAGCTTTGGGGCGAGTCTTCTGCTCCTCTGAGCTAGCAAGAAGCAGAGGAGGAAGAAAGAGAAAATGAGATGAAGTGAAGATGGAAGAGTACAGTCTGAACTGGAAACCAGAAAATTCAATCAAACATATGTTGGGATCATGGTGTTTAAGCTGCACAAAGAGATGCCCCTCCTGCTCTTCGGTGCTTTCTTTCTCATTCCTCTGCTCTCTTGCATTCTAGAACACCAGAACTACTTTGGAATAGACGAAAACCTTGGCCCTGTGGCAGTCAGCATCCGCAGGGAGAAGGTGGAAGACACCAAGGAGAAAGAAGGGTCCCAGTTCAACTACAGGGTGGCTTTCAGGACAAGTGAGGTAAGGCTGCTCTAATGGTCCAGACAAAAGTCAGGGCCACGATGGGCAGTACCGCTTTAGTGTGTGTTATATATAGCATTGAATTTATTTCCTTTGTGATGGCAACATTTAAGGTAATTGGAAAGGAGGTTACAGGATTTTTTCCAAATGAAAAATTTGGAAACCTGTCGTGGATGTGCCAGCATATATGCAAGGAAGGATAATGTGATAAAGACAGAGGTTTGGGAGCTGAGACACTGAGAATGCGTGTGAACTACACAATTCATATCTGGTTTGAGAATGATATTAAAATCTAATGCAGAGAATTAGGTAGTTACAGGGGGGTGGGTATTTAATGAGTGTTTTTTTGTCACTCTAGTGTAGCAGCACTGGCTGCCACACCTCGTTGTGTGGAGGACCTAGTTTAGTTTCTGGCCTATATTTGTTTCCTGAAAAGTGAGATCATTACACAGTGGTGTAGTGTGGGGAACTAAGTGGGCAGTGATGCTGGCTTCTGTGAAGAATTAGATCTGCTCTGCAATGTAGGTTTTAGTTCCATTTCCCACTATAATTAGAGGGATATACTAATGTTTGGCAAATATTACAGGATGTGCTGGGTACAATTATAACCCCAGCTATTTGGGAGGCTGAGGTAGGAGGATCACAAGTTCCAGGCCAGGAGGAAATGCTGGGTTTGTAGCTCCGTAGCAGAATACTTGCTTGACATGCACAATGTCTTGGGTTTAATTCCCCAGCACCATGGAAAAAAAGTTCTGGAATATGTGTTTCAGTTTACATTTTCCAGTTCAGATGGAAAAAAAGAGCCTTTTTCTTTCGGTTTCTGCAGTGTGTATGAGTGCATGTCATCTGGTGTATGTGGGTCCTAGTGACCCCATCTTTGTGCTGGATCTGCACAGCTGCTCTCAGAGCAGCATGGTTCAAGGATGAGACACATGCCATCCAGTTCAATAGCTCCAAGCCACAGGTGGCTGTTTCCATGTGGAATAATTCAATAAAATCAGAAATGCTTCCTTTTCATCAGCAGTCACGGTCATGGTTGCTTTCCACACACTCAGTAGCCAGTGAGGCTTGAGCAAGCCAAGAGCATTCTCACCAAGCAGGTGGCCTGGTGGCCTGTGTTAGGAGCATTCTTCAAATGCTGCGTCTACTTGTGACGACACTCAATCCCCAGAAACAGAGAAGTAAGTCAGAACCAGGCCTTGGGCTGCAGAGCAGGGCTTTCTCAGCATCTTAGTTCTGAGACGGTGCTCAAAATGACAACCCTACCACCTTCATGGTGTGGTTGAGGTCGTGTCACAAACCATGGGACACAATCCCATGGTTGTCTTCTCAGTCCTGAATCTTCCGACATGAGTGCCACTAACTGTCCACCATCAACCTCAGGAAGCTCAGCGTAGAAATTAAAAACAAGAAAAGGAGTAGGAGAAAAGAACAGAGGTAGACAAATGGGGAGGTAGGAGAAAAGGAGGAGAAGAAGAGAGATAGTGAGGCCAGGGCTATAATGCCGTCTCTCCTTGGAGTGGCTTTCCATGGGGCCAGAGGTACAAGAAGGTCTTAATTTTCATGGCATTGCTCTGCTTCACTTTTCCTCCTTAGGTACACAGCTGATTATTTCAGCCTCTCTAGCTTCTTGATCCCTTTATATCATTTCCATTTAAAAAGGGAAAATACTGATTTGCACCTTCAAATGTGGCACTGTGGTCCCATCCTCCCCCCTCAGAAAGCCTTGCTTTTCTTCTTCCATTTTCAAGGTAACAACCAGGACCTCATATTGACTGCTGTCTTGTGTTTCCTAGCCTCCACACAGGTGACCAAGAACTGACTGCAACCTTATGTTTCCTTGCAGCTTACAACCCTGAGAGGAGCCATCCTGGAGGATGCTGTGCCCTCCACTGCCCGGCATGGCACCACCCGCGGACTGCCCCTCAAAGAAGTTCTGGAATATGTCATCCCAGAGCTCAGCATCCAGTGCCTGCGGCAGGCTTCCAGCTCTCCCAAGGTCCCAGAGCAGCTACTCAAGCTTGATGAGCAAGGGGTGTGTACAGCCTGTGGGCTGGGGTGTGTGTGTGTGTGTGTGTGTGAACTTGTATCTGTGTTTCTCCAAGTTTGGGAGCTCCTTCCCATCCTTCTTTTAAGATCATTTATTTTAAATGCCTTGGAATATTTTCTCCCTAGTTTTCCCCAAATACAGTAATATCTCAGTCATACAAACAAAAGCATTTGGCAAAATTTTATTTTTGTTTGTGAACTCTGCATCAGATGACGAACACAACCATGGCAATCTTTCCCACATGAACTCAGATGTGGCCATCTTGTTCTGAGTTGTGGAACAAATGAAGTACGTGAACCCGGAGTACCACTGTGTGCCTTTATTGTAGTTGAGAAGTGTGATGCCATTGTACTGTAGTATAACCTCTGCTGAGTTGGGACTTGTGTCATTTTTAACCTGGTTTGGTGTGTCTCAGCTAGCAAGAGCACATCTGGTTGCACGATTAATAGAGTTCCATAGTGCTTTTATTCAGGGTTTAAAAATCTCATGTTTGGCCCTTACACTTAAGGAGTGCAAGTTTGAGCCTACCTTGGGCAATTTAGGGAGACCCTATCTGAAAATTAAAACAAAACAGAACAAAAACATAAAAATGGGCTGGAATGTAGCTCAGTGTAGAGGCCCTGGGTTCAATTCCCAGTACTTGGTAAAATGCAAGGGAAGGAGAGAAGGGGGAGGGAGGAATTGGACAGATTTTTAACATCTGTTTTTAAAAGACCCTGACAAATCACCATTCACCAAGTCGGGGCAAGTTCATTGCAGGTCATGCTGTGTTTATTCATTTTGTGGATGGTAAATTTGCCTGGGGACAGGCCAATGCCATGTCACTGTTCTATGGCTTTGTAAGCTAGAAAAAGTGTTTACAGATACTTCACGTATGTAATTGTGAACATTGCTGGCTACTGCTTTCTCTGGGTCTGAACCCATCCTGATCTGACATAGTCACACACTGAGTGTCTTTTCTTCTCAGGACATGCCTGAGCATGAGTGAGACTCCTATAGGGTGTCTTCCTGGAGTTTGATAAGTTGTTTCCGGGGGAAGGAGAGTAGTAATTATGAAGCTGGACTTGATGCTTTTGTTTAGTTGTATGTGACAGCTCCTGACAAGACCTCTGGCAGAACGACTGATTTGCTCTGGGCCGGTGCCCCTCCCTCTGGCTGTGTACATCAGGTTTGCTCCTGATGCAGGCTCCTGGTCTTCACTGGGACTGCATGTCCAGAGCCAGGAGACTGAGTCACGACACTCTCAACTTGTTTTCAAGGCCATTCTGAAGCTGTTTTTTGACACCTTCATTTTAATTTAGGTTTTCTGGTCAGTAATCACAAAGCCTGGTGGAGCAGCCAGTGGTGATCGTGTCCCTGAATGAGAAGAGAGGCATAGATCCTCTGGAGACTGTGTGGCCATCAGCTTGCTGTGCTGAAGCTCTGGGGGACCGTGATGGGCATGTGCTTTGATTTGCAGCTGTGCTCATGCCCAGCGCCAGCCCAGTCTCACCCTAGGACTCTGGACTGGCTGCAGGTCACACCTGATGGCCTGAGGTTCCAACCTTTGAGCTCAGCCTGAGGTTCCACAAGGTTAGAAGTGAAGCCACTGTCTGAGAGCATTGGGGACCTCTGCTCATGGGTCTGTGATATGCAGGAGAGTATGCTGCTGGCTTTCAGGTGGACGCAGGAGAAAGAGTGGATCATATAGCATTGGCTCTAAAAGAGACTCGGGTGATAGAGGACCCTTACTGAATATCAACGTGTTTTATTTAATGGAATCACAACTCTCCTAGTAAGTAAATAAATCATGATTGTTTATTTTCAATCCTTGTCCTAAGTTCCATTCTGTGGGCTGCTCACCTGACCAGTGGTGACCACGGGACATTTCCCATGGCCTGCAAGGTTATCCAGGCCATGACACACCTTTCCTGCAATGTATGTTGTCATTAGGTATTGATACGATTTTGTTGTTCAAGGGAAATGAATATTATTTTGCCTTGTGTGATGAGGGCCTCTGACAGGGACCTACACCGTGCCCTGCTGTGTATGTAGCCGGTACCTCACTGTGCAGAGTCCAGCAGCTACTGTCACATACCTGTGGGCACTGCTTTCAGTTTTATTCTTGATTCCACTGAGCTCGATGGTCCACAGCCTCTAGGTTGGTAACATAAAGCCTGTTTGCTGTTAGGATGCAGGTGAGGCTGGTGTCTGCCACGCTAACCACACAGCACTGAGCAGAGAGGGCCCCCAGGATTCAGTTCTCCAAGTATCTGTCCTCTTCCCCAATGTGAAATGTCCAGTCTACCAGACTTGGGGAATCAGAAAGAGTGTGCCAGGCTGGGGCGGGGGTGCTTAGCCAGACCCAGACCAGACTGCTCTACTCTTCTCTTCTCCTCGAGAAGTAGGCATGAGCAAAGGAAGGACTCCTCTCCCAGAGATGCCAGGGCAGACTGCACAAGCTGTCTGGGCAGTGGATGAGGTGGGTGGCACGTGGCACTCGCAGTACTCCAAGATGAACAGTAGGTAAAGAGTAGAGTTGGGCAATTAGACAGCAGCAGCCAGGACACAAGTGAGCTCTGGAGACCCTGGGTGACAGTGTGACAGTCTCTCCTGAGCACCAGGGAAGTGAGAGTCCTGGGCTGTGCAGGCACTGAGGTGGCACTCACTATTCCACACTGTTAGTGCTGGACCCTTGTTAAAGCAAGCACGATATTATCAGAGAGTTGAAATCCTCTCTGACAGTGACGAGAAATCAAACTAACATGGTATCAGAGAGGTGAAGCAGATGTTTTAGGGCCGTGTGTAGTGTTAGCACAGATCCCAGCAGTCACTAAAGCCCTCAGCATCTGTGAGGTAATTGCTGGTCATAAGAGGGTCTCTAATGCACTGTAAGATCCCAAATGTCTCTGGAGTCATGTAGGAATAACTAATGTTTATAATGAAATGATATCAGGCATTTTTATGATACTTAAATTATTTGGAAATGTTCTTTCTTGACCCTCTTAAAGAATTAGGTCAACAAACTCCATAGCATGAGGTCTAAGTTAAGTTATTTCTGCTCATCGGCCTATAGCCCACCCTCAAGGTCAGTACCACCATCTTCCCTCCCCGTGTAATAGGGAGCCTGTGCTTTCCCTGTATCCTGGCACCCATCAGCATGGGTGGCAGGTTCTGTCAGTTTTTGAACAGGGGATGTTTCCTTTTATGTTCTCCTAGGGTACTCAGGCAAAGGGACATTTCCTGTGGCCTGCAAGGTTATCCAGGCCATGACACACCTTTCCTGCAATGTATGTTGTCATTAGTTATTGATACGATTTTGTTGTTCAAGGGAAATGAATATTATTTTGCCTTATTTTGCTATTATAGGTAGCTACGAGTTTTGATTAAAGACTGTATTTTACATCTCAGTAATAAAAGTGAACAGTGCTATGGATTGATTTCTTCAGGGAATCTATGGTGTCTGATAATCTGTCAGTTCAGTAGCTCAGATTGCTGACAGTAAGATAAAGAGCTCTGATTGCATGAAGGAGAAGCAGTTCTTTGGGCAAAATGAGAACACTGTAAAAATGGAAGCCATTTCTCCCTGGCCCCCAGAGGATGTCTCATGGCTTCCAGCAGGACACAGCATTGACTGTACATAGGAGGACAGCAGGGACTCTTCCATTTTTATTGTAATTCTTTATGTGTTGTATATTTAGCAGATGTTTTCTTTTCAAGATAGTCAAAAACGTGACAAATGACTGTAATTGTACAACTAAAGTTACTTTTATGGAAACAGCATTTTTCTATTTATACACATATATCACAATTTCCACTGGGGTTCTTTCCTTACCAGACCTTAATTTGATTTGTGTTTCCTTACAGCCTCATATATTTCCTTGTATGTTGTGATAAATCAAAGAAGAAGGCATTAGAACCAGAGAAGGAAAATTTTTCAAGGTTCATGGCCTTTTATTCTTTCCAGCTTAGAAGATAGTTCCAATTATTGTATGTAGCTGTTAGATTAAGTATTTTCACAGTTGCATTTTTAAAGTAGATCCCTGAACCTGAGAACCCACCCTTTTGGAAACCAGGCAAATCCTACACGGCTATGGCCATGCATTTTATTTCTTAGGGTTTCTGATACTTCTCCAGCTATATTTTGGAGTTTCTGTTTTTCTTATTTGTAGCATTTTGTACATTGATGCTCACTTACTTTTTTGCTTATTTGCCTATGGAAATTAGTCAGGCATGTTTTCCTGAGAATAGAATTCTAAGCTTTTTTTATACTTTTAATTTTTCTGGAAGTTAGCTTGTCTGTACCCTTTGCCAAGTAATTGCATTTCCTGCCCTTTTCAGCTAAGCTTTCAGCACAAGATTGGGATCCTTTATTGCAAAGCAGGCCAGAGCACGGAGGAAGAAATGTACAACAATGAGACAGCAGGACCAGCTTTTGATGAATTCCTTGATCTTCTGGGCCAGAGAGTACGGCTGAAAGGATTCAGTAAATACCGCGCCCAGCTGGACAATAAAAGTAAGCTTCATGCACACAAGTTTATATCTCCAAAGGTGGGCATACCGTATAAGTCTAAGCAAGTGCTCATGTGCCCACCTCGTCTTAACCAGGAAGCAGCCCAATGGGCTTATATGGAAACAGGTGTAGAAGTCCTCAGATGAACAAAGGAAGCATATTTCTTAAGAGCTGTGTACTCATGTTATGAGCTCAAGAGGTCAGTGCTTTTCCTTTTTTAACTCTGGCAGAGATTCCTCAGTGTTTCTGAAAAATCTTTCAGTATTTTCCTCCTTTTCTTATCCTCCCCTATTCTGGTGACCCTTATTTCAGTATACCGAGGACAGGCCATGTATTCATTCCTCAGAGACCCAGTGGTAACCTACTCATGAATACATATTATTGGGCTCATTTTGTTCATTTCTGGATTCATGATGAAGACTGGGTGCTAAAATAGTGAATTGGAAGCTGACACATCCTAGTCACCAGGAGCAAGAGTCAGGCCCCTTGAGTGGGGCATATATTAGCTCTCAGGTGTCGATTGATAGCCCAGTTCAAAACATGGCCATCTCTGAGCCATGCCCTCCTGGGATATGCAAGTTTCAACAGAATCTCTAGTTACACAATTGTTTTCTTCTTCTTCATAGTCCTTATAAACTCTATATCCCTTGTGCTGTCATTTAGTTGCTATTAGCACCTAAAATACCAAGGAAGCACAAATTTGAGAATTTGGGAAAATTGAAAAGAGACCATCTGAGAGAACTGGTAGCCTGAGAGGCAAAGTGGGAGATTTCCAAGTGGGAGTACTCGGTGCCGCCCAACGAGGACTGCAGTGGAGTCATCTGCTGCCCTGAGGCTCCTTCCTCACCATCTGCTCAACGTGGAACCATCACTGATATTCTGTCCAGTGATGCCTGAAGTCAGTCCTGTGTTCAGATGTGTTTTTGAAAGCTTGTGTTCACTCACAAGCCCAGGCAGTAGTGTTAACTCACCTGCTGAGTCTAACCATTACATTGAGTATTGCTTGTGTCACAGACTTAAAAAGACCATAGGGAAAGAACTCATGGGACCCAGTATCTGAATATTCATGTGTTAGGAAAGATCCATGGCTTTCCTCTTTTTTTCTTTTTCACACTCCCTTTTGCTACAAACCATCTTCTCCCCAGTGGGCTGAAGACACCTGAGATGACACCTTAGGGACTTCTGGTCCATGGGGTCTATAAAACTGTAGCATAGATGTTCCAAGTACTCTCCTCTGCATAGATTTGACATCAGCTTCAGGTAGTCATGACTGGGGACATTCCACTCAAGGAGATGGGAACTTAAGAACCAGATTTGGATAGACTACCTCTGATGAGCCACAGATCTTTACTTTTAGGGGTAAGGAATTCTGTGAGATACAAAGAAGTCTGACATTTCTTTAAAGAGAGTGGTCTAAGAGTTAGATATTTTGAAATAATCAAATAGAAATTATTCTTTCAAATAGAATTATGTCTTTCGAATTATGTATTTTGAATTATTCTATCGAATAGAATTATGTCTTTCATGGACTTTATATGTGAAAATCTTTCTTCTGAAATTCAGGAGAGTTGGGCGCTAATTTTAATTCTGTTCATGGGAGGTAGGTCAAATGTAGGCCTCAGGTACCTCACAAGAAGAGCTCCAAGATATGGGCGGAAGTACCTGGGATTACCCTGCCTGCTCTGAAAAGGACTGTTTTCCTCTTGAGCACAAAGTGAGTAGAATAGGAAGGGAGTTGGCCCCTAAGATGCTGTCCTTACCAGCAGAGTATAGAGTGCAGCCCCACTTGGTGCAGAGAATGATCAGACTGATGCCCAGCCCAGCATCTCCTTCTAAGTAGGGAAATTTACAGCAACCCCTGGATGTTACCTTAACCTTCAGAATATTTACTTTTCTGAAAGTCACCTTTTAGTACTGTTCAGGATGGACAGCTTATGGTCACAGCCTGAAAAGTGCCTCCAGCACATACACAGTATATTTTTCTTCTTTCATTGCATTTTCCTAATGTTAAAGATGGTTCTGGTCAGCGTTTCTCTTCCTGGATCCTAACCAGGATCCAGGAAGTGTTGAATGTTTCTCAACTGTTTTAACTATTTTGTCACCAACTTTCTGTTTGGTGGCCAATGAGCCAAGTGCTTATGGCTGGGCTGTGGGGTGTTCATTGTTCCCTAAGCCTGTGATTCAGTCCCTTACCGAAGTTATTCCAAGTTCTGAAGCAAGAGAATTAGAATAGAATAATTGTTTAATAAAAAGTCTTATGAAAAATAACATATGTGTTTCATGAATACTCAGAGGAAGAATTTCTTTATTTTGGAACTGATTGGTATACTGCTTATTAGATGAATATCCTGTTTGACCATCTTTGAGGTCATTTGTGCATATCTGTATGTAACCACTTCGGGTGCTCTTGCTACTGTGAATCTGCTGCCCGGGAGTGTCTTTCCGGAGCATGTGAGAACTGTAATATTTCTTCTACAGAATGTTCAACGCTATCTCTGAATCACAAATACACTTTACAAAGACATACAACAGGATTCAGAAAGAAAACAATAAATTCCATGAAGATTAAGTAGTTTAATGTTTTAAAGTAAACATTAAAAATTTTAGACTTAAAACACCCCAACTTACCCAAAATGGCTACTCAGAGATTTCTCCAGCAAACTGGAATAAATTATGATGAACAGCATTGTCCTTTGCCATTTTAAAAGGTTAAAAAACAGCACTCTGAAGAAGGAGATCAAAGAGGATATAAGAAAATGGAAAGATATCCCTTGTTCCTGGGAGGAAGAATCAATATAGTGAAAATGGCCATACTTCCAAAACTACTATATAGATTTAATGCATTCCAATTGAAATTCCAACAATATACTTCACAGAACTAGAGAAAACAATCCAAAAATTCACTTGGAAGCAGAAGAAACCTAGAATAGCAAAAGAAATTCTGGGCAACAGAGACATGGCTGGGGGTATCACAATCCCTAACTTGAAACTATACTACAAAGCTACTGTGATAAAAACAGCATGGTACTGGCAAAGAAACAGACCCAAGGATCAGTGGAATAGATTAGAAGATGCAGAAACAACTCCAGACATACTCAGCCACCTCATCTTTGACAAAGGAGCCAATCGCCCTCATTGGAGAAAAGATAGCCTGTTCAATAAATGGTGTTGGAAAAACTGGATTTCAACCTGCCAAAGATTGAAACTAGACCCATACCTATCACCATGCACTAAATGAAGATTGAAGTGTATTAAAGAGCTAAATATCAAGACAGAAACAGTAAACTTGCTGGAAGATAAGTTACGTAGAACTCTCAATGACATTGGCATAGGGAAAGACTTTATGAACAAAACCTCAGTAGCACGGGAACTAGCAGAAAGAATCAACAACTGGGATCTCATCTTATTAAAAAGCTTCTGCACTGCAAAAGAACTACCAACAGAGCTAAGAGACAACCTACAATATGGGAAGAAATTTTTAGCAGCTGTACCTCAGACAAAGGGCTACTATCTAGAATATATAAAGAACTGAAAAAAATCAGACCCCCCAACTTCAAAGACCCAATTCAAAAACGGGCATCTGAAATGAATAGACATTTCTCAGACAAAGAAGTAAAAACAGCAAATAAATATATGAAAAAATGTTCAACATCACTGGTCATTCTAGAGATGGAGATGAAAACAACACTGAGATTCCATCTCACCCCACAAAGAATGGCTGCTATCAAGAAATCATCCAATAACAAATGCTGGCGGGGGTGTGGGGAGAAAGGAACCCTTCTCCATTGTTGGTGGGAGTACAGACTGGTGCAGCCACTATGGAAATCCGTATGGAGATACCTCAAAGAACTAGGACTAGAGGTCCCATTTGACCCAGCTATTCCCCTGCTGGGTATCTTTCCCAAAGAATTAAAAGAATCATACCACAGCGATATATGTGCACCTATGTTTATAGTGGCACAGTTTGTAATAGCTAAAGCTTGGAAACAGCCCAAGTGCCCATCAACTGGAAACTGGATAAAGAAGATGTGGTTTTTTTAATAAAATGGAGTACTACTCAGCCATAAAGAATGAGAAACTAGAGACATTTATAGCTAAATGGATGCATATTGAGGCCATACTCTTAAGTGAAATAAATAGGACACACATGTGTAAATCCTGAATAGGATCTCTAGTGTGAGAAACTGAAAGTGTAAATAAGGATGAAAATGATTAAAATGAATAATTGATAATTTGAAATAAGAAAAGGTCCAAAGGTGGAGGGGTGGTGGGAGGGGAAGGGGAAAGGGAAGAAAAGAAAGGAAAAATTATGAGAAAGAATAAAAAATGGAAACAAAGTCTATGTAAATAGGCAAGGGTGGAGGGAGTGAAGGGCGCACAGGTAATGGGGAAAAAAATGAGAACTAAGATACATCATGTATGGGTACAAACACCCAATGATAAATGTAAATGTATTGTATACCTAAAATTTACCAATTAATATATAAATTTTTTTAAAAGGTTAAAAAAAGAGCCTTTGTATAGGCCAAGAATTGAGAAGGGCAATTCTGAATTCCTTATATGTCTTAAATTTCTGTGTGTCTTTTTGCTTCGTTTGTCTTATGCAAAGTGGTCTGAAACTTTACTCCAGATTTATTCCTGAAGTACTGTATAGTCACTGAGTCCAAGTGTCTGAGATTCACCGAGGCAGTTTCATGGATAGAAGAGGTGGATTTTGAATTTTTGAAGAGTCAGTTTGTTTTCAAAAGACAGATGGCTCTGTAGTCAGCAGGACTCAGATGTCACAGCATATGAGACATGTCAGTCCAGAAGGTGCAGTGTGAGACCACAGTCAGTCTCCTCCTTGATTTGCCAGATGTATCACCACTGCATTTTTCTGGTGAAAAAAGAAAAAACTTACATCCTTCAGAAAGACATTTTAAAATAACATTTTTCATCCCTATTTCCTTATTTAATCAATTCTGTTACATTTTTCTGCATTCTGAAAGATCACAGGCCCCAAAATGACTGAAAACCAACTGCAAACACACAGATCTTCTCTCCTCTGCTCGCCTGTGTGCCTGGGGCAAGAGTGCCTTGGTGGGTTTTGAGTCCACACCGCAAGGTCAAGAACAGAAGAAAAGCAGGAAGGACCCACACTGGCTAGCCATGTAGCGGCAGAGATCATTGGCTACAGTCTTGGGTAGAAAGGGTTAGAAGCTGAGTCTAGGGGAGCAGGAGGCACAGCCTCCAGACTGTAACGTCACAGCAGGTGTGTGTTTTGTGGCTGACTCGCCTTTTATAGGAATAACCTTCGAAGTATAGCCTAACTTGCTTTTGTTATTTTGTTTTTAGCTGATTCCACGGGAACCCATTCCCTTTACACCACATACAAAGACTACGAGCTCATGTTCCACGTGTCAACCCTGCTTCCCTACATGCCAAACAACAGGCAGCAGGTAGGCCTTCCTGGCCCCGTACTATCCCAGTGACTGTGTTTTCTTGAATTGACTTAATAACCTTTCATTCTTTTATGACTTGGGCTTTAAAGAGAGTATTGCTGTACTTTTTCCTTATTACAAAACCTGGAAGCACTTCTGTGCTTACCTTTATTGCTTGCTGGGCAAAATCTTAAGAGAAATTCATGTCAACTGTACTAATTCTGAAAGCCTAACTTCATTGACCCAACTTAAATTTCTACGTGTGGAGAAATGACTTATTTATTCACTGGTGCCATTCTCAACTATTCTTCTTCATTTGGTTTTCATTGTTTTAATTAGACTTATTGATCACAATGTATTGACCATTTTAGAGGGAAAAAAAATCACTGTGCCTTATACCTTGAATGCAGCCATTTACTTAGAGTTAAGAACATTCAAGAAAACTTGAATGATCCATAAAACATAACATAACTGCTTTTATTAGAACGTTTCCAGTACGTGATTACATTCATCATGAGGAGTCGGTACATGTACATAACATCCCAGTTATTCTTTTTTCATCCCCTTCAGCTCTCCTCCCTAGACACCACCCCCCACTTTGGCATACCTATAAAATGGGTTGAGCAAGTTGTTTTGCAAAAATTTTTAGAAATGATGTGCTAGAAATATTTGCAGTGTCATGTCTGCTCTGTGAGCTTGAGAACACTTTGAGAATTGTTTGGGGTAGAACGCAGTCTGATTAGGTGAAGGGAGGATCTGTGGGAAGGGAAGGCTCCACACTATCTTGCTTAGAATCTGTGGGCTCTGCAGTGTTCAAGCAGCAGACAGAAAGATGAGGGTGGCCTGAGTTCCTGAAGACTCACTAACAGGCTTGCCGTGTGCAGGGATCTGTTTTGGGGCCTTCCTTAACTTGAGAGCTGTGGCCTTGTTTGAGTAAAAGCAGAGTTAAAGACCAGATTTGCTGAGGTCTCCTGATACTGCCTCCCTGCTCCTCATTTGCTCTAAGTATATCAAAGCACCATGGACTATATCATAGTTGCCTGATAGGAATTTGTCCAGTGAATGAAAACTAATTGTTCTGGAGAATTTTCTCATTTCTTTGAAACACTTGTGAAATTCTATGTCATCAAAGTTTGCATTTTCCTAAAGAAGGAAGAGGCCCCCTGCCTCCTCCTCTCTGTCACTAGTTGTAGGAAGCTCCATAGATCCTCTAGCTGGGATGAGAGAGATCTCAGACTGATTCCTTTAGCTCCTCTGAGAACAGTGGCTCCTCTCTTTGGTAACCACTAGCTGGGTTTTCTTGCCATCTTCTACCTAATGTTTACCTCAATCTTTTGTCCTTCCTGAACTTTTTCTTTGTTTTATAGTAACTCATGGTTCTTAACCGTCTTCAGAAGTTATATCTCTAGATTCCACATCTGTGTATTTTTTATGAGACAGGATTACAATCTATAGACCATTTATATATTTGTGTATGTTTAAACTTAAAGAATTTTTAGCACTTAAAAAATGTGTTTGGAATAATGCCAAACAGATTCATTGGGTATTAAGAAGCTTGATTTAGACCAGACCAGCTGTCCAGTTGTAAATTGTTGAGTAATTAAACTCTGGGAGCTGGTTCTCAGACACGGATAGGGCCTTCTCAGGTCAAGAGAATCTGTCAGCATGATGGCAGAAGTACAGCCAGCAACTCCTGACCCCAACCATTGAGTACTCTAACGACAGAGCATCAAGTTCCCTAAGTACTGGAGTCATTGGACTGCAGGCTGAACTGGCCTCATATTTTCCCTTGTGGTAAAGTCTTTACTGTTCCCAGAACTCAAAACTGGCTTCCCTTCCCTCTTTCATTGTACAGTAATTCTGTGTACTTTGGGGCTCTCTATGACTGACCTTATTTCACTGAAACTTCGTGAAAAATTCTGCACACATGAACCTGGAAAGCCAAGAAGTAGAGATGGAGGTGGGGTAAAAGTGAGGAGAGGGTGTTTCAGCTTCCCAAGTGGGACATCATAAGAAAAATCCCTGCAAGGTGATGTTTGTAAATGACAAACTCTAGCCTAAAGCCTTGCTTAGTTAATTTCTTTCATTTCTGACTGAGAATCCATGGCAGTGTAAGTTGAGCAGACAGGCTAGAGGCAAAAACTGGTAAAGCCCATTGTTTTGTGTTTCTCATTGTGCTTACTGTGTATGGAGTAGGAGTGATCCTGTGTGGGTCCTTGGGAGAGTTGTACACCAGACACACCGTGTGGGCAAGTCAAGCCAGGAGAAAGATGGGAGAAGAGCATGAGACTAGTCTGCGGACTGCTCTACGCCTGGTCTACTTTTCTTACCTGTGGCCTGTCTGAGGCCCTCAGTCTCTGGAGGAGTTTGATATTTATAGAAGCCTTAGGAGCTGCTTACAGCCCTGCAGTGAGAAGGGTTGTGGGGTGGCCAGCTCAGAGGGAGGGAGCACTGTGCCCAGAGATGCCATCCATGGGAGGAATGCTTAGGGTCTCCCTGAAAATGTCACAGTTCCACGTTTGGGGGCCATCTTTGAGGCATCCTTCTGGGGCAAGAAAAGCTTCAGCAGGAAGTAGCAGATATAAAGCAAGGACTGTGGAGTCAGACTTAGGATTCGAGACCCTGCTACTATCTTGGTGGCCTCGAGGAAGCTTCACTAAACTTTCATCTCCTTTTCCTCTGTTCACCAAGTATCCATGCCTAGAACTGTGCCCAGCACATGGTGGGCCATCAGTCCTCGCTTGTTGAATGACTAACAGATAAATGAGCTGACCTTTCTTGGTGGTCCTTCATGAGAATTAAGGGAATTAATAGGTGTGAATCACTTAGTGCCAGGCACAGAGTGTACTCAATAGCTATCGAGCAGCAGTATTTTTTTCCCCCTTTGGTACCAGGGATCAAACTCAGGACCTTGCACTTTCTAGGCAGGCATGGTGGCCACTGAGCCAAATCCCCAACCCAAGCACCAGTATTTTTGATAATTTAATTTGCATTTTATTTTCCTTTTCCCATTCCTAAATATCTATTACAAAATCTAAAGCTTGAATGATTAAGAAAGTAAGGGACTAAATTTATGAGTAATTCCAGGAAATTCTTACCCTGACCTTTAATAAATTATTTTACAGATAGTTGTTACCAGGATGTTCTGTGTGTGGCTGAGTGCCACTTTATAGTCTTAGACCTATGCTTTCCAAATTTATTTGCCCTATTCTTTCACCAGCCCCACTCATCCCCACACATTCATACAAAGGCACAAATATCCACAGTAATGAGCTGGGGTCATGGGTGCAGTTTGAGGCCCCTGTCACTGGCTCTCACACAGACAAGTGGGGTCTCTGCCCTCAGCCTCATTAGCGCCATCGTGTTTTCGACCACTTAACTGGTCCAGACTTGTCCATATCGGGTCAGATTTCTGGTGTTTTTCTTGTAATAACTCATCTGAGAGCTGATTCTGAGATGCATTAAAAGTCTTGAGAGCCTTTTGCCCTATTATTGCAAAAGAGTTTAATCTGTGGAATGCCTCCACCCTTAGTAAGAAGCCCAGCCAACTGAGGGGACAGAAGACCTGCTCTGGGAGCATTCCCAATCTGCATAGTCAGGCCCAGACTTGTCCCATGGTCCATCCACTTCTCCCAGGCCATCTCTGCTTGTGCACCTGTTCTGTAGATTCCTAAGTATAGGGTACATAAGGGTGTGTGTGTGTGTGTGTGTGTGTGTGTGTACAAGCACATGGATGTGCAAGCACATGTACCCAAAAACATATACAAGAGCACAAAGTTAGGATGGCATCCCTAAAGGAGGAGAAGCTGCCCTCCATGTGACCAGGTAGGACCAGCTCCTCTTGAGAAGATCAGGTAGTTTTCTAGACAGTCTGGGGCAGGTGATGAGGTTACAGAGACAGAAGAGATCGGTCTTTCCCTTGTTGAAGGGCTTGGATTTGAACCTAGAAACCAGGATGGAAAACTTGTAGTTACTTTTTGTGGGCTGTAGAGCTCTTTCCTCCTGAGGCTGTCCCTGGAGACCCACCTTCCCCAGCCTGAGATGCACCTTCTCCTCTGTCACTCCCCAAAGCTGCTTTTCATGTGTGTGGTGCGGCCTGCCTTTCCCTAGGATGGCCTGCTTCCTTCTTGCTGCGATTAAAACAAGAAAAGAACTTCCATGGATGCTAGTAGACCTAGCCTGCTCCAATATTGCCATTTTTGATCCAAGTGTAGTGGCTTAACAGTTGTCTGTTTTTGCTCACTTGTGATTGTTGTGCCAAGTTCACAGTGGCCTTCGGATCCCCAAGGTTTGTGTGAGGAATCGAGTCTCAGCCCCAGGGTTGCTATTTGTGTAGGGTGCATTCCTGTGCCACAGATCTGAGTGAAGACTCAGCTTCTTTTTCCTTGTTATAACAAGAGCTTGTCGTGTTTCACAGCTTGAATTGAGTGCTGAGTGTTAGAGATTGGTAGAACTGTCTGTGTAAATCTATCAAATACAGTATTTCTTAACTCACTATTACAGTTGAAGACACAACATTGCTTCTCTTTGCTACACACAGAAAAAGTGTTATCATCTTCACATGTCTGGGAAGAAGGGAGCCCCGGAAGACACCATTCATTCGGTCTCCAAAACAAATAGTACCTCGTGTCCTGCTGGGCTGTGTCTGTTCATGGCTGGCTGCCCCTCTTCTTTGGCCTTCAGACTGTTCTACAGTATTTCACTGACCAGGGAGACAGACATGCAGACTATTTACTAAAGAAAACACTCACAAAGTTCACGAAATTATGTTTTCTTTTTGGCAAACTCTTAAAAACAACAACAAAAAAATATTTGTTAACTTTTGAGATGTTACATTGCTTTAGTCCCTAAGCAAACAAGAATCCTACTAACAAACAGGGCTCATTTTAATTATTTTATTGTCCTTCAAACAAATTTGGATTTTACTCTTTGTATCACCCTATCACTTTATATTTTTCCCCACAATTTAGTGCATTGTATGACCACGGTGAAAGTAACTGGACTTTTAAAAGCACCTTTTCTTTTTTACTCATCTTATAAAGCGAAATATACTGAGAAAGGGACAAAGCATTGCATCCTGTAGGCATGGTAACTGGCCTTAAAGTTCTTGTCAGGTGAAGTACAAAATCCATTCTGCAGGAGGAAAGAAAATCAGGTGGGATCAGCTGTCCAGTTGACTGTTGCAGTGATCGCACCTCAGGGCACCAGCTCATGAGTTCCCTGTACCTGTTGTTAAAGAGGGGGCCAACCTGGCTTCAGCAAAGGAATTCTGTCTACACTGATGCCTCACGAAGAGCCCCTCCTGGGCCTGTGCCTCCCTGAGCTCCATTTTCCACTGGTCACTCTAGGAAGTCCTGTCTGGAGACACTGAATGACTGACAGCTTGGGCTTCTTGTGTGCATGCTCTGCACGTACAGTGAGCATAGCCTTACTATAGGAACTTACAGTCCTTACTTTAACTGTTCATTGGTTCCTGATTTCCCCTTCTCCTGGTACAGGATATATGAATCATAGATTTCAGTTACTGAAAAAGGCAGAAGAACGTCTTTGCCAACTACAGTTTTCAGTAATCTTTTTGCATCATTTCACCAGGTACATTTTAAAGATCTAGCTAAGTCTTTTTTTTAAACCACACATTTAAATGAGGTAGCTCATTGGATCAGTATTGTTATATATTAATATGTTTTAAAACTTCACTTAGACACTACAGCAACTTTTATGTGTTCATAACTTTAACCATGGGGATTTAAGTAGATGTTGTCCAGGATATGAGTCATCGATTTCACTGGCCTGTGGAGAACTCTGAAGGAAGGAACATATCATTCCCACTGTCCGAGGCCTTTTATCATGCTAAATCACAAGTCAGGGGCCTGACAATGAAATCCTTTTTGTATCTGAATTTAAAAGGTTTTAAAATGAACTTGATGCTCTTTACAGGGAAATATGCTCAGTGGTGCCAAATAAATTTAAAGGCTAGGTCACTGTCTTTGTTGATGCTAATAAAGAGAGATTTACTGCCTGAGATAGTTCCCTCCCTGCAGTGACATCACCAGCTCCTGTGAGTGTGACTGAATCTGTTAAAACTGAAAGTCAGAGACTTTCTGATCCCCTCCTTTCACCTGTGGGAGCTTACAGAGGCCTCACCTGTGAATGGATGTACAGGAGGGAGGTACTCACAGTTCTGAGGTACAGTGCCACATGTCAGTAAACAGAGCCTTGTCTTGTCCTTTCATTCATTTACAAAGATACATTAAGTGCAGCTCTGCTGAGCATGCAGTTAGGAACCAGAAAACCAACATCAGTGGGACACAACATCCCTGCCCTTGGAGGCTGTGACCTGATGCACAAGTAGTAAGCCACCTATCAGAAGAGCAAAGGACAGCTAGGATAATAGAAGTAGGCCTGGGCATGGTGGGGAGCAGGACGAAGTCTTCATGAGGAATTTTCTTCAGCTGAAGTGGGTCTCTGCCAACACCTGAGTTGTCTCCAGTGAGCTTGAGTGGGGACATATTCTTGGCAGAAGTAATATCAAAGATTAGGGTGTTTGTGATTGTCGCAGCGGTATTCACAATAGCCATAATCCAAAATCAACCTAGATGACTATCAGCAGATGAATGGATAAAGAAAATGTGGAATAAATACACAACGGAGTATTATTCATCCATAAAGGGACAGTGAAATTCTATCATTTGTTATAAAATAGATGGAATTGGAGCACATAGTTTAAACCAGACAGAGAAAGACAAATATCACATGCTCTCTTTCAGATATTGACTCCAAAAAGTTGACCTGAAAGTAGAATAGTAATTATTAGATATTGGGAAAGGTGAGGTAAGGGGAGGGATAGAAAAGGGAGATTGGATTTTTTTGTTTTATGTGTAGTACTAGGGATTGAATCCTGCATCCCCAATGGTTTGGTTTTGTTGACACTGTCTTACTAAATTGCCCAGGCTGGGCTCAGACTTGCAGTCTTCCTGTCTCAGTCTCCTAGAGTGCTGGGATTATAGGTATGTGCCACCACCCACTGTGAGAGGTTGGATTTGATGACTGCATGCTGTATGTACATAGGGAAATATCACTGAATCCCATTAATATGTACAGATCAACGCATGTTGTTAAAAAATAAAAGCATTCTTAAGATGGGATTGCTGTGGAGTCCTTTATCTCCTGTCTGACCTGCAGTTTATAAGGCTGCAAACAATCAAGATTTCTGACCATTAACCTGATTGAATTCTGTGTTTCTGGATCACATTAGAAGGCCAAGTTTCAGTTGATTTGTTTGAGTCTTGTCCACCCAGATGACAGTTCCTGTTCTTGCTGCAGACGTGTGTGTCACTGTGGGATCTTGGTGCTGTCCGGCAGGCAAGACCTTCACTCCCCGAGCTCTGTTTCTACCTTTAATGAAAAGCTTCAACTGTTAAATTTCTTAAGGTGTTTGAGCTCAAATGTGCTGTTATTTTAGGGATAAAAAGGAAGGAGCTATATAAAGATGAAAAGGAGAAAGAATACAAACTGAATTTTTTTTTTTTTTTTTGGTACCGGGGATCGAACTCGGGACCTTGCGCTTGCAAGGCAGGCGCCAGAACCACTGAGCTAAATCCCCGGCCCTACACATTGAATTTTAAAGTAAAAGATAAACTTGTATATTTAGATTTTCCTTCCCAGAGGTCTCCTGGATACAGTCCATTTTGCCTTTGTCAGATATTTTCCCCCAAGTTGAGTAGCACCAGCTCCTGGAGAGTAGCTCTGCTTGCCTAGATCCCCTCTCACACAGCAGACTGGGTGGGTTTTACATATCCGTGTGTTTTGTGTAGGAGAAACTTGTTTGTCACCGGTGTGTGCTTACCTCCCCAACACAGCTCCTGAGGAAGAGGCACATCGGAAATGATATAGTCACTGTGGTCTTCCAGGAGCCTGGGGCACTCCCGTTCACCCCAAGGAGCATCCGCTCACACTTCCAACATGTCTTCGTCATCGTGCGGGTGCACAACCCCTGCACAGAGAATGTCTGCTACAGGTGAGTCCTGCCCTCTGGGCTCTTCCCACACAGCCTCTGTCCTAGGAGGTCCTTGTCTTCCAGGTATCCCTCCTCACGCTGTAATGTTTTCATTGATCCCCCACCTAATCGCTCAGAGAGAAATGCCTGGCAACTGGGAGAGGTGGATTATTCCTTTCCACTGTTTGCTTCGAAAGACCAAACCTAGCCCAGCCAGTCCCACAGAATTTGGCATCTGCCCAGAACTGGCCGAGGTGGCCCTTAATATCTTCCTCCTCTTGGAGAACCCGGGATGGTGGTAATAAAGAAAGCATTCCTTCTCATCATTGGCCCCAGAAACACTCCCTGCTCAGGCCTGCTGAGACCAAGGGGGACACTTGCTTCTGATGTCACAGGCTTTGTGTGTTCCTTGGCACCCTGAGCTATTCTTGCTCTTAAGTCTTTATCCTTGTCTCAACTCTGTATCAGCAAGTAACCGTACTGAGCATTCATTCCATGTGGGAGTTGGCAAGAGCCCACCTTGAATCCAAGACTAAATCTAGATATATTGCTTCCTATGGGCTTTGTGGAAGGCATTTTATTTTGTTTCACTTTGTTTTATTTTGTTTTGCCTTTAGCTCCTTGTATTAAAATTTAGGATTATAGTACCTACTCCAAAATGTGGTTGTGAAGCTGGATGTAGTGGCAAAGCCAGGTGTGGTGGCACACATCTGTAACTCCAGCACTCTGGTAGGCTGAGGCAGGAGGATCACAGGTTCAAACCCAGTGTGAGCAACACAGTGACTTAGCAAGATCCTGTCACAAAGTAAAAATAAAAAAGGGCTAGAGATGTTGCTTAGAGCGTAGACCTGAATTCAGTCCTCAGTACCAACCAACCAAGAAACAAAAGAATTGTTTTCCTATATCATCTTAAAGCAGTCATTGCCAGTCCAGCTGCCTACAGGTTCAGGCAGCAACCACAAAAGTCTTTGTGGGAACTGACCACAGAGCACACCCCATGTGCTGAGAGACCCGTGCAGGTGTCACATGGTGCTGGTTTCCATCCGTCTGAAACTGTGTTCCAGTGGAGCATCCTTCCCAGTCCAGGTGTCCAGACAGCGAGTCTCTGGTCCTGGGGTGGTCCCTCTGCAGTAGGCCTGTAGTCAGCTGGCCACCCAAGCTGTGTGCTCTCCTCCACAGTGATTCTTGCGTACCCTTTGCTTAGGACACTGCCCTAAGTGCTCAGGACTCCTTTCAAAGAAAGATATTTGAAAAAATACAGTATCTGTCCCAGTGATGGTGAACCTTTTAGAGCTTTCAGTGCTAACGAACACCCTGCTGCGGCCCACACATGCCACAGGTTCACCACCACTGATCTATGCTATATAGACAATATGCTCAAAATAGATAATATTGGTGCCATCATGATGAGTTGGCTTTTTCTTCTGGATCTCACCTAATGAGTGATAGTTACGAAGAACAATCTAAGATGAACCTTTTTAGTGGATCAGAAACCTAGGGCTAGAGCTTTATTCTATTCAGTATTATTTTATTAGCTGCTATTCTAGGCCTAATCAAGTATGATAAGTAATACCTTTTTACTTTACTTTTGTAAAAGTTTTCTTGTTTTATGAGATTCCTAGGGGAGAGATATTTTAGAAACCAGTATAGATCTTACATATTTTGCGTTATTTTTCCAGTATAGAAGATAGCATATGCAAATCCTTCAGAGATGGAGTCACTGGATTTTAGAAACCTACACTGTGGTCAGTTTTACTAATGAGATTCAAATGAAAGTCACCTTCCAGCTTTTGGAAATGCTTCATCGGTAGTGTCCAAGATCAGGAAAGAGAAACATAGGCTTAGATGGGCTTTCTTCAAGAGCCATGGCCCATCTCATGTTGTCTTACTTTTCTCTTCCCCAGTGTTGGAGTTTCCAGGTCAAAGGATGTGCCACCGTTTGGTCCCCCAATTCCCAAAGGTGTAACTTTCCCAAAGTCCGCAGTGTTTCGGGACTTCCTTTTAGCCAAAGTAATCAATGCAGAGAATGCAGCCCATAAATCGGAAAAATTTCGAGCAATGGCCACTCGAACAAGGCAAGAGTACTTGAAAGACCTGGCAGAGAACTTCGTCACGACTGCCACTGTGGACACCTCTGCGAAATTCAGCTTCATCACACTGGGTGCAAAAAAGAAGGAAAGAGTAAAGCCCAGGAAGGATGCTCATCTGTTCAGCATTGGGGCCATCATGTGGCACATGGTGGCACGGGACTTTGGCCAGTCTGCTGACATCGAGTGTCTTCTTGGGATTTCCAATGAGTTCATAATGTTGATTGAAAAGGATTCCAAAAATGTTGTGTTTAACTGTTCCTGCAGGGATGTTATTGGGTGGACATCTGGATTAATGAGTATCAAAGTATTTTATGAAAGGGGAGAATGTATCCTTCTGTCCTCAGTGGATAACTGTGCTGAAGACATACGGGAAATTGTGCAACGATTGGTAGTAAGTACACGTTTTGTGTTTTCAATCCCAGATGCCTAGCAGGTTCCACCAGGGAAATCCTACCGTGGTTCTAGCACTTAGCGAATAAATTTCTATGCCTCATGGATATAGAGGTTAGTTTTAAATACGGGGTTCTTTTGAGAGTTGCTGTACACAGAAATGGTGAAGAAGTACCCACCATAAAGTGTTTGGAAAAGTTAAGCAAACTTTCAAATACAGGAATTAGGACCTACATTGATAATATTCGAAGGAAAGTTGTACAGATTATTGTTTATGGTGACTGACATGGCACACCTTCCCAGTGGATATTAATGGGCATAGAATGACTGACTCTTATTTACACCTTCAGCTCTGTGCATATTAACAGCAGGTATTTATCTTAATTAGATTAAATATTTTATTAATCTTCCAGCAAGAAGATTTCTTATGGCAGTGTTAAAGAATTAGCCATTAAGTTTGGGAAAACCTGAAAAACAAGAAGTCAGTCTTAAAAAGAGATTTCTTTGGGTCCCTAAGTTATATACATGGTATTTAAAGACCTCTATTTCTGCTCCCAATTTTAACAAAGTAAGATTCAGGTTTTAGCTTGAGTATATGTAATAGAGTAATATGAACAAATCTATTTCTGATTTTGATTGTTTTGTCTGTGTAATGTGAGAAGAAAACATGCTTTGACCATAGAACATCTTACATATAAATCTCCTGAAAAGATTATATTATTTTTTTTTAGTTAGAAAAGATCTAGTCAACTTTGAATCATGAACAAAAGGAGAAATTATATTCATTTCTTTTTTTTCTGGGAAGCTGGAGGATGTTGGCAAGTTCAAGACTAGCCTGGGACAGTAAGCAAAACGCTCTCTATATTCATTTCTTGTCTCCTCTTCTTTGATGAAATATAATTATTCCTTTTGTTATCATGTAAGAGAGAAAAAAATCAGGTCCATATCTGTTAGCCCTGGAGAAATAGCTCTATCTTGATAGTAACAGGCCTCAGCAAGTTCAGGCAGGTACATGTGCACGATCAGCCATGAGTGGGGACAATTAGGGAGGATGTGACTAGTTCATATACCTAGGGAATTGGCTCTTGAGTTACACTTGTGAGTCTCAAGCTATGCTGTGCTTTTGCTAATTGCAAATACCTCTTTTTAGCATAGCCTCTGAATTATCATAAGCTGTGCACAAACGCCAAGTTTCCAGCCACCAAAATGTACCTTCCAAAGGTGTTTATACCTGGATTCTTCCACATTTGCTGCTTCATGGACCCCATCCTGCCATTTTCCTAGAAAGATAACCAAGCCGCCTAATACCAGGAATATGTTTGAGAGACACATTCAGTGTCTAGGATGATTTGTATCATGAGATATTGGAAACAAACTAACCCACAGACTAGTGAAGAGGGTCAAGCATCAGGGTAGAATGGTGGTCACCAGGGAATAAAAGGGTCAGATGCCACTAGAGCAGAGGTGTTGGGGTTGACTTCATCCTGCAGTTCCCTGTCTGGCTGGTGATCACAGTGTCCCTTCCGTGGTGATGAAGGTGGCATGTCATGTGTGTCACATAGGTAAAGATATAGGAAAGTATGAAAGTGCAATGTCTAGAGTGGCCTGCCACCTTTTGAGTCACACAGAGCCACTCAGAATACCCCATGCTGAGTTGCAGGCTTTGCTGTTGTCAACTTGAAATTGTGAGTGTTTTTGAACAAGGGACCCTACATTGGACCCATGAATTATGTAGCCATTCCTGGGTACCTGAGAGGAGGCCACTGTTTCCATGTGCTAATTAATTCTTATGTGTGTACTCCAGATACATGGAGAACATAGTCCTTCAGACTTTGGGGGTCTTAAGAGGCAAGGAACAGAGGGATAAAGAAATAACAAAAACCAAATCAGGAGAGGTGGCCAGTAGATGGTAGAAATCAGCAGAAGAGACAGAGCCTATAGGACTCTAGAAAAGCCTGGTTGATTCTAATATAGGAATATTAAATTTGAGCTGACATTCATACCTGAAAGAAGGCAGGGGATGTTTTAGATGTCTTTTGGTGAGTTAGCTTAGTACATAGTTGAAGAAGTAATGAAGGAAAAATGTACCAGATTGTACATATTACAAAAGTGCTCTTCAAGTTTTAAGTTAGTTCATTTCATGACTTTGAAAACTTCAGTCTTTTAAAACTTCACCCCTGACAAACCACTGGCAAATCCCTTTCCCCTTTTTGCTGAATCCTGAATGTCGTGCTTGTCTGGGAGAAGCTGATGGGTAATGTGTGCACTTCTTGTTTCCATGGAAACACAGACACAGTGCTGATACATAGGAGTACCCCAGTCCCACAGCTGTACTTGCAGTCAGAGGTTTTATTAAATAGGTATCTGTGTATTCAGAGTGTGTTTCATGGAAATGAACATTTATTAAACTGAAACTTTGTACATTGCCTCTGGGCTTTGGAGGATAGGATATGATACCTTGCAACTTGAAATTTCCCACAAAAAAATGATGTCATAGTCATCAAATGATGTTTAATGAGCCTGTGTTTTCCTTTCATTGCATGGTAAGTTACGCTCAGTAAGCACTTTGTGGGTTGCAGAAACTAATTATTGGTGCTTAGTGGGGCTGAAACCACCTCCTTGCTTTCATGTCCCTTTTTATGAGACAGCATAGACTCCCACTCTGGAAGGGACATGCACTGGAACTGTCACTGCCTGGGTTTGTCCAGGAGGACGAGAGATGGCCTACAGGCACAGATGGTCCCGCTGCTGCCCACAAGAGCACCATCCCACACACATCCCTGTTAACAGATGGTCCGGGAGCCTGGTTAGGGACCCCTGTTGATCTGAAGGGTCCTCACCACCAAGCATGCACAGATGGTCAGTCCAGAAGAGGGACCCTGGGGGACAGACCATGATATCTCTGGTTTGCTACCTCTCACCATTAGCTCAGAAGTGCTGTGCGCCACTTATTTTGGAGTTGAAAGTTTTCTGATAGTTTTTAGTGCTTTGTGGTTGAAACATGTCATGGTTTTGGAAGTCTCCACATTTTTCCATTGCTGTAATCCATCTAGAACAATAGAATGTACATGCCTACAGGCCAAGTCCAGTAACATAAACAGAAGGCATTGTCAGAGTATACTCTACACAAAAGCTCTAGGCCATTAAAGCTGCATCAGGAGTCAGTATTTCCCCGAAAAAGGGAACAGGAACTGTATTGATTGATGCTTTTGTACTTTCTTTGCAGCTATTGCAAGGGTTTCTTATGGTAAACTCTGGATTTCAGCAGCATCATCTTGTGGCTTGAACAGGGTGCAGGAAGGGCAGAGCCATGTGGTACTCTCTAAGCTAGGAGGGCCAAGGGACAGAGACACCTGCACATGCTACAATTAGACACAGCATCTCTGACAATCTCCCTCCCCCCAGATAGTGACTAGAGGCTGCGAGACGGTGGAGATGACCCTGAGGAGAAATGGGCTGGGCCAGCTCGGCTTCCATGTGAACTTTGAAGGCATTGTCGCAGATGTGGAACCTTTTGGCTTCGCGTGGAAGGCTGGCCTCCGCCAAGGCAGTCGCCTGGTGGAAATCTGCAAAGTGGCAGTGGCCACACTGACCCACGAGCAGATGATTGACCTACTCCGGACTTCCGTGACTGTAAAGGTGGTCATCATCCAGCCCCATGACGATGGCTCTCCCCGGAGGTAAGCACTCAGGCCTGGGCAGTGCTCACTCTTAACTGTCTAGCAGAGTCCTCAGAAAGTGTGTTCAGGTGCATCCATGGACTGTGTGTTGGGATGTCAGCTGTTAGAGCCATGCAAAGAGGGCTTCAGAAAGATGGGTGTGTGACAAATCACAAGTTGTAACTCTAAGCCACTTGCCAGGACTCTCACTGACTATAATAACTTGAGCTAAGAGCCCAAGGGAGGGGACCTGACTGATGGCGCTGGCCCAGAGATACACAGTCTAGAAGAGATGGTCATTACAGAGTATGGCCTTTAGTTGATGGCATCTGCACAGCCAGACTGCCTTCTGTCACATGAAGCCACTGGTGACTGCCAGGATACTTAGAGATCAGTGCTGTGTGTCTGAAGGAAGGTGGAACACCAGGTATTCTCTGTGACCACCCACCACTCTACGCATGATGCTTCAGAGGCCGTGAGCTGGCCCGGGCATCATCGGGAGAAACTGTAAAGATGTGGCTGGGCTGGGAAGCTCAGAGTATGCAGGTGGAGGGAGGGAATGAGGGTCATGGTGGGAAAACAGCTCTGTTGTTAACAGAAAATAATCATGCTCAACATTGAGAATCATGGAAAGGACTAAAAAGTGAAAAGAATCTGGCAGATAACATGGCACTGTGAATGCCGGCTAGTGTCTACACTGCGGGACGGGGTCTGGTGTTGGCATCCTGGCACCCAGGCCTTCTCTACGTGGTCTCGGAGCCTCCCTCATAATCTGAGTCAGAGCCTGTGTATGGCTTTATGAAGGTTGAAAGTCAAATAAGATAATATCTTAAAGCACTTAGAGCCTTTTAGCATAATTATCAATATCCCACGTTATAATTTAGGAAAAAGAGCTTTAGGGTGTTCATTTTCATTTTCTTCATGTTAGAAAGAAAATCTTATCCAAAGAGCAGATTTACTGTGCCCACTTTGCTGACTCCTGCCTAAGATCATTCTTTCTCCTTTCTCCGTCTCGTTCCTCAGTCTTCATACTGGTACTGTCCAGTATCACCTTCTGTTCACAGGCCACTTGGCTGATGCACATGTGATGAAATATGGTTGTTGTGTTTTCCACTTTAATTTAGACCTAACCAGCTGCGTGTAGCTAGATAGATCAGCTTTAACCTGTGATCTTTTAGAAAACACACTGATCTTATACCATCTTACTATGTGGGTAATGTACAACTTTGCAGAAGTCTATTTCTATTAATCTTACCATTTGTTCCTGGCCTGATTTTCTACGGCTGTGCTTTCAGTATTTAACCAATATGTTTCTAAGATAATGAGCTGAAATTCTTCTTCTAGTATCAGTCTCATGTCATATGAAACCCCCAAGGTGTTTCTCAGTGCTCTGTCTGATTCTGCCTGTTAAATCCATCTGCTCTCCAAGGACCCATGAATCACACTTGGTAGTATGAGTACTAGTAAAATACAGATAAAAAACTACTTTATTAAAAATGAGACTTAGAAATAACAAAAAAATATTTTAGGACTTTCAAGCTAAAATATTATTTGAATGAAAATCTTTTACAGTAAATTTTAAGCCAGTTATTAGAAATTTTTTGTATAGTAAAATCAATCTTCATTTGGAAATGTACATTTATGACTTAAGGTGAAAAGCAAATCTTTTGTCTGTTAGAGCATAATTATGAGATGTGATCAAAAATACGGTGAATATTTAATTTTCTAAGAAATTGCTTACAGTAAATGACACATTGTTATTAATCCCCCCTCAGAATATACACACACACACACACACACATGCACGCACGCACGCACACACACACTTCATGTGCCAGCTTTGAACACAATTATCCCATCCTTCCTTTTTCCTGAGTGTCTTTAGTCGTATTGTCAAGGCTGCCTTGATGTCCTGAATCAATTCAAAATGTTTACCTTTTGTGGTCCTTTTGACTTTGGAGAAGAATCAGAAGTTGAATGGTGCCAGATCTGATGAATAAGGTAGATGAGGACACCACTTAATATTTTTATTTGACAGATATTATTTTAAACATTTTGAGTCAATTTAAGATATCAAGATAGCCACAAAAAAGCACTTCAGAACCGCTTCAAAAAGTGCCAAAAACTTGGGGTAAGTGTGTTGGAAGTGAGGGGAAATATTTTGAGGAGGATTAATTACAGTGTATCTTTATTGTAATAATGTTTTTTATTTCAGCATTCATCATATTTTGTGATCACATCTCATACTATGGAATTGAGCAAAAATGTTGCATATTCTTCTTTTGGGTTTAAAATAACATTTATTGCCTGTTTTTTAGATTTGATTTATTTTTAGTAAGAAATTTCTTAAGCTTTCAAGAGATCTACTTAATAGAAATCGTATTGTTTTTGGTATTTAGAACGTGTAATTTAGAAGAATATAATTTTTTTTAAATACTGAATTGTTTTTCAGCTAAAACAAATAAACAAAAACTGCAATTTAAAAGTTCTAGCTGCTGTTTTTTTTTTACCCAAGAACATGTTTTTGTTTTTGTTTTTTCTAAAGAGAATCATTTATCTCACTTGGTCTTCCCACAAATAATTCTTTGTTTTAAATGCAAATTCTCATATTGAAAACAGCTGAGATATTTATTTAGAGATTTTCCTTTGATTCTTTAAAGTTACATGAATGCTATTCCCTAAGTTTAGCGGGTTTTTCCCTTTTTGATTAATCTAAAACAACTGTCTCTATAGTTTACTCTCTTCTCCAGAAGGACTGGAATCAGCCATTTTCCTAGTGGAAACACTCCAGGAATGGCATGCCTGTGACCCACATTTCTGCAAGTCAGACAGGTTTTAAGCTTAGCATGTATCATTTAAAACTCTTTCAGTTCACTTTTCCAATTTTCTGTGAATCTGAATTTGCAAATTTTTAAAATCCATATTTTGTCAGTTTGGAGTTCATTTTCTGCCTGTGCCTGTGTGGGAGCCCTGATAGCTGCATTTACAGGGGTTACACAGTGTCCTTGGTGGTCAGCATCCCCAGCAGGCCTGCCCTTTCCCAGAGGCTATAGTGTATGGATAAAGGGCAGTTTCCAGTTGTCCTCCTCTTCTCAGCCTACAGCTGTCTGCATGGTTAGACTTCTTAAGAAACTCTCAAGTAGGGCCTAAAAGGGAACCTGGATTCTTATTTTTAAAATTAAGAAACATTTCTTTTAAAGGAAACATCCTTCTGTTCCATTATCTGTGTAACCAAAACAAAACAAAATAAAACAAAGACTTGCCTCAAGCTGTAATTAACACATTTGATTTGTGGAAAATTACTTCCATCTTTCACAAATTGGCCCTTAGTTTTTGTCAGGTAAATAATTTGTTGAAATGGGCAGCTATGGGTGGGTGGGTGTGTGTGTGTGTGTGTGTACACGTGCAGTTTTCTGTTACAGCTGTCCTTAATGTAAGTGCCATGAGATGAGGACTACAAAAATGGCCAATTAGCTGCAAGGTATTTTAATCTTTATAAACTATGAAAAAAATGCTTCAGTTCATTTTTGCCATTTACCAGCTCCATATTGGTCTTCCAGGGTGTCATTGAGATAATTTGACCCAGAGACAAGCTGCCCCAGCAGTACTATGAGAAGCCTATCATTTAATAGGTGGCTTCTGGCCTTCCACAGGTCAGAGGTATCTGGTTATGACTCAGAAGCTGCTGCATTAAATGAAGTCTTTCCTGGGACAAGTGTTTGAGTCAAAAGCCACCTATATTTGAAATCCCTCTCTCTGGCCCCAGGTGGGGTGGGGGTTCGTGCAGCTGTCCCAGCTTGAAAGGAAGGCAGAGCCATTTTTAGCTTTCCTGGTGTGGAGTTCCAGAGAGCACCAAGCAGGGAGGACCCTAGGGAATGCTTATTAAGGGATCTCTTGCTGGGGGTTAGATCCTGGAGTAAATTCATGTACATTGGGAATGAGAGGCTGGGAACAACTTGGGAATAGCCCTCTTCAGATGGAAATAAGGTTCTGAAGGAAGCAAGCCAGGAGGCTTCCCAGCTGCCAGCTGTTTGTAGCAGACTTGAGGAAGACGTGCCATGGCCCAACATGCTTAATTAAGGTCTTTCTTGGGGTTTTTTTTGTTGTTGTTGTTGTTTCACTTAAATTCTTTTATTGGTACATTTTAGGTATACAGTGCGTTTACATTTATCATTGGGTGCTTGTACCTGTACATGATGTATCTTAGTTCTTATTTTTTCCCCCTTCCCCTGCCCATCCGTCACCCTCTCCACCCTTCCCTATTTACAAAGACTTTGTTTCCATTTTTTTCTTTTCTCATAATTTTTCCTTTCCCTTCTTTCCTTTCCCCTTCCCCTCCCACTTCCCCTACCCCTTTGGACCTTTTCCTCCTGTTTCAAATTATCAATTATTCTCTTTAATCATTTTAATCCTTATTTACACTTTTAGTTTCTCACACTAGAGAAACTATTCAGTATTTACACATGTGTGTCCTATTTATTTCACTTAAGAGTATGGCCTCAATATGCATCCACAGCCACTGGTGTAGAAAAGCCTCTGCTCTTAGAGGTGACCAGGATTCTGTCCTTGTCATTTTAGAGGAAGCACATCATTAAAAGGCTGATATATAAAGGAAGTAACACCCCATCAGAATTATGTGTGAGTTGTTACACCATGTGAGTGAATTTAGTAAATATTTCCAATAAAAATGGAAATGACATTCCTTGCTGTAGCGCCTCTGTTTTTGCGTGATTTTCCTACTTTGTTGACACTATTTTTCTGTATAGTGCAAGACAGTGGAAATTTTCTTTATGCTATCATGAGCCTAAATTATTCATTCTTAATTCTATAAATTAGAACTTTTAAGTCCTTGTGTTCTATTTTGCTGCCTGATACCTGGCTATTCAACTCTGTAAAGAATAGAAAAGAAAGGCGGAGAATGGAACTGGGAAGGAAAACACACTTTTGTCTTTTTAGCACTTTCTGTGTATATATGTGTCTGTGTGTGTATGTGTCTGTGTACATATGTGCACATGTGTTGT